GTGTCTGTGTGTGTGTGTGTGTGTGTGTGTGTCCTGGAAGGTTTGTTTTTTCTAATGCTGATAACCATCGTTCGATAACGTGACTCACTGGGCAGACCGGTTTAAAACATGGTCGGGGACAAAAACAAGTCTGCTGCTGTCTAAATGAACCAAACTGCATTTTGTAAATAAGAGAAGATTGTAGCAGAAAAGGTTGTTTAATGTCTGTGAGGCAAAGTGTCTCTGACTTCACAATCTGCTCGGACAAGAAGGAAACTGAAAGCAGAGTGACTGGTGGAGCCTTACAGGCTGATATCTCCTCTGTGCAGCAGGATCTGTGTAATAAAGTCTTTATCTGCTGTGTAAACGGTGCATGTGTTTACACCCCGGCCCTTCACAATAAAAGCCTGTCACTTTGCTGGAGGTGTTTCACTGTAAAGCAGAGCCATAAACTGTTTGTAATGACTGTGCTGATCTAAACAGTGACTCTGCAATGCTTTAACCTCCTGTGGCCTCTTCTTCCTCCCTCCTCTTCTTCCTCTTCTCTCTGTGTTATCTCTGCACGCAGCCAGAGCTAAGGAGTTTCGTATGAACTTTTCTGAAGTTTTACAAGGTACGGTCTCAACATTTAACCCGCCATAACTACACATCCCCATCCATCGTATTACACCCTGATTCCATCAGAGCCCACTGTGACTGCAAGCTGCAGGTGGAAGAATCACGTTTCTGCTTTTAAAATAGTTTAAAATGAACCTTCGACAGAATGTGAACAAACAGCAGCTGTGAAGTTGTGTCCAAGATGATGAAGAGAGTTTGATTAGAGGCAGAGCTCTGCCAGATTGTACAGAGAGTTAATGTAAGGGAAGTTGCATTGGTAACTACGGTTCTGTGAATTCCCGGGTGACTTTCAGTGGTGGTAAACGAGGTGGTCACCTTGTGTCTCCTTGTGCTGTAAACACAGCCGCATGTCTGAGTGTAGGCCGCCTGCGCGTGTATGCTGTTGGTTACCACGTGGCAGCCAGCATCCATAGCAAACACTCCAGGTGAGCAGCTGTTATCCAGGAACTGGCAGAGCCGTAGTTACCTGCATGACTTCCTCTCTGTTTCGTTCACTTCTCTCATAGATCTGAGTGTCTCTGCTCAAATCTTATCTTGTCCTGCGAGGAGACATGTCTACCTCGTTTACTGTCACGGGGCATCAGGAGGGAATGGAAATAGAGCCTTTATTAACTCAGTATGGACAGGTTTTATGAAAATGAAATAGAAAGTTAAAAGGTTAAGAGATCGGCCTACCGCCTGGTAAGCTCCTGCCTGTGGCCTGGTCTCTGAGCTGCCAGCTGTAGAGATGTCTGCCTTCTCTTTAATATTTAATATGATGGGACTAAAGGTGCTTGTTTTATATTTTACTGTTTTATAGGTTTTGGTGGTCTGGCTAACTGAGAGGTCCACAAAACTAAACAGCAGCATTTGAAATGCTTTCGATTTGTGGTTTGAGTCGGGGTCTGATCGGTGGGGCTGCTGCTTATAACAGACAGAATTCTCCTCATCACCACATCCTTCCTCTTTTAACAGAGACACTTCCTCTGTGCACTTTAACAGACTGATGCATGCTTTTATTTTTGTGACTATTTTTGCCTTTATTTGATAGAGCAGCAGTGAAGCTGCACCCAGAGAGGATGCTTTTAGTCTGTTTCTGTCACATGGTCAGAGCTTCATTTACCACTGCTGTGACTCTGAAGCCAGCCCTGTGACCGAAGGCCTGATTCACTAATGTGCAGCTAAACCATAAAGAACTAATTATTTATAACATGCTGCAGAGAGATGAAAAACATCAAAAACACACTTTGTTACATTTTCCTTTGTCCTTTTTCACCATCTGAGCTCTTGTAGTAACATCCTCTCATTACATTTTCTTCCTCTGCTGTGGTTTAATGGCACCAAATAGAGAACTGATACCATCTTAACAAAACTGGTGAATGCAAATCATAGATGGACACAGATGTAGCCACCGTGATGTCAGCACAGAGACCAGCATTTTTCCTTTCTGTCTTTCTTTTTCTGGCGTTTTGAATCCGACTCTTAGAATAACCAAACTTTACAACAAGGGCTTAAAGTTTTATTCAGTACGATCCAAGACGAGCGGAACATAGAAAATATGAGACACAGAGAACTTTAAAGTGTTGCAGTTGACTCTGGTAGCTGCATGCACAAACATTTTCGTGTTTTTCAGAATTTGTTGGTTGAACTTCATCTCCTCTTCCTCCTCCAGGTAAACTGACGGCCTACGACACAGATGGAGACGGAGACTTTGACGTGGAGGACGCCAAAGTTCTGCTTGGCAAGTCTGCTTTAATTTTGCTGTTTGCTGCCCGCTTTTCTGCCTGCCTGATGTGGTTTACAGACATGTGACAGTGCCTCGGATTCAGAGATTAACCCGTCAAACATAAACTGAGCTTAAAACCAGCTGAAGCATCACAGGAAGCCACAAAGCTCAGGTTTAACACAGAGTCAGCAGCGTGACTGCAAACGCAGACGAGATGCTCAGAGATGAAAGTGTGTGGGCCACGAGTCCATTGCTAATGGAGGAAAAAACCCTGAGATCAGACGGTGCTGTGAAACAGGGGAAGCATGCAAATATAAAGACGACTGCAGAACTGCAATAAAAATAAATGAAAATGAGCTGCAGCTCAGGGTTCTGACAGTTTAAATGTCCATCGCTGGCACAGAGAAGTGCCTGATCTACTGTATCAGTGTCCCTGCAGGTCGTTGCTAAAATCTGTCAAGTATGAATTTATAAATCAAGAGAGGAAGGTCTGAAACGGTCGTGAGGCACAGCAGGCGTGTTGTCATGTTTCAGGGTGTAGTTACGCGGCGCAAAGTTTTGATTGTCGGCTGGTTGGTTGGGAAAAAATGAGACAGTCAGTAAGGGTTGGATCTCCAGCATGAAGAGAAAGTGAGGTAGGCTTTTCCCACAAGAGAGCAGGACGTCATGGTCAAGCTTCTTCAAGTAATTAGTAAACAGACATCAGCTGAACATCTGGATGTTATAAGAATTGGCCTTTTGGTACGTTGTCATAGTTCTACTTCCTCTTTCATGGTTAAGTTATACATTACATATGCATATTATTACGAATCCCTAAGCCACAGAAAGCTGGCACAGCAGCCCTTCAGCCTTTCTCTGAGACAGAGGGTCGTTCGGTAGACGCTCTGGCTCGAGCTGCTGCTGCTGGACACTTCTAAGATTGGGTGGTTCGCTCAAGTCTTACTGGGTGGAGACCACGGGGCGCACTGGAGAGATTATGTGTCTCAGAGGGCTTGGGACCGCTGAAGGGTGTGTCCGAGGAGAGGTCAAGGAAAGGGAGGCTCAGCTCGCTGCCACCATGACCTCGAACAACATACGGAGAAAATGGATGGAAGGATAAACGTTCTGTAAAGCCAAGGAGTTTCACAAATCCTGCACAATAAACAGAGAACATCAATGATCAGAGTGCTGAAGGGACACTGTTGAATATTTCCATACCTAAGTAGAACTAGAAAACCAGACCATGTTCCCTCACTTCTACTTAAATTTAGTGTGTTGAGGTCTCAGACGGGCCTTAAACACCGTTCATTATTTCACTGGTTCAGATTTAGCACTTAGTGTTACGCTGCTTTTACAAAACCTCAGGATTGTGAACATTTGTGGCTACTAGAGCGGCTTCATTACGCAGCTGTCTCCAGTTTGAAAACGAGTGTTTAAACCAACCACAGCACAGCCCGCCTCTGATCTTCAGGTAGGATCTGCTGCAGGCATCGTTTTCTGTTTCCATGATTTGAAGCTTTTTTTTTTGGACACTTTTCTTTGAGTTTCTCAACAACTGTCATTACCTTCAATAAAAGCGGAAGTTTTCATTTGAAACCTGTTTATGTATCTCAAAGATCAGTTTTCTGCTCTGTCTTTCACTTCAAAGATGATCTTATTATTTATGAGGCCGAGAGCTTTTACTTTTTTAGGTTTTGTTGCCAGTAAACTGAAGACAGTAACCGAGAGTGCAAACAGGAGGTGGTGTTTTCAGACTCTACCACGGCAGCTTTGCATGATTCCCAGTTTAGAATAATCCTTCTTTGTCTGGGCTGTGGGCAACCCCATCAGTTCATCTTATGTCTGGTCTGAGCCATAGTATCTGCTTCCTTTAAGCAATGTGGGTGGGGCTTGTGTGAAATGACCATATCAGGTAAAACCCTCCTTGTGACATCACACAGATCTAAGAATAGAAAAAACAGCTTGAACCTGAGTGTTTAGATCAATCTGCCAACTCATTGTTTGAAACTTTGTTAAAAATAAACATCCAGAGTTTGAACAGGTGATAAATGACCGGAAATAAGAAATGTATTGAGTCTGTGTTTTGATAGGGCCAGGCAAGTATTGCAACCTCCTGTAAATAACAACAGAGTGTTGATAGCATCCGCTGGCAGTATGAAGTCTTAATGGGAAGCTGTGTTATAGATGTCGTGTTTGAAGTAGACTTAGCAGGAACGTGGCCGCCTCTGTTCGTTTTTATTGAGCGGACGTCGTGTCAGAGGTCATCTGACGTGGTTGAGACAGGAAGTAAAATCTTTATTAATTGTCTATAATTCATCTTTAACTCACTATCTTTCTCTTGTCCCGTCTCATCACCCTGTATTTATTTATTTTACCACACTTTTTTGTTCCAGTTTACTCCCCCCGTCTATCCTCCCTCCATCGCATCATTTCCACTTCTTTTCCTTTATAATTTCCTCCTTTGATCCCTCTGCACTTCCACCCGTCCCTTTTCTTCTCTTCCTCTCTCTTCCGTCAGGCCTGACCAAAGATGGCAGCGGTAGTGCGAATGCCGAGTCGCTCGAGGAGGTTCTTAATATTTTAGCTGAGGAGGGCTCTGATTGGATCTATGGCTTCTTCACCTTCCTTTATGACGTAGTGTCCTCGCCCTTAGAGCCAGGTGAGGAGGAGGAAGCGGCGGCCTCTGAGATGATGGAGGAGGAGGAGGGCGGGACAGCCTCCTCGGATGACGGGGAGGTTAAAGGGGTCATACTGGACCTCCAGAACCAATAGGAAGCAGAGACACAGGCGGTAGGGAGGCTGCCTGGTCCCGACCAGACTGGAATGTGCTGCAGCCCAGTATGATTGGAGGAGGCCAAACAGGGCAGACTGGTCCGACTTTTAATTTAATAAATCCGAAACACTACAAGCAGGAAGAGCTGAAGGCTGAAGGGATTCCAGATAACGATCGATCTACGGGATTCGTTTGTTTGACATTAACAGATTTTCTCCATCAGATAAAAATGTCCTGCGAGGTCAGAGGTCAAACGGTAAAGCAGGTGCGAGTGGCAACTGGAGGAAAACTGAAGGAAATTCATTTTTAGGGACGATAACGAGTTTGAATTTAACCCAGCTGTTACCTCCGCTCTCATTCATGATAACATTTTTAAACAGACAGAAGACGTAAGCGACCGACCGCGAACAAAGCGAGAGCTTTGGTGCTGTAGCTGTACCGTACGGAGGGTCGAAAGTGCCAGGATAACAAAGTAAACAAGCCAGTAAATAATTCACAATACAGAAATAAAATACTACAAGACACCACTGACAACCAGTCAAAGGGAAACAAACAAAAAATAATTCAATAGAAAAATTCAGACTAAATTTATTCAAAAGGGAAAGTAATCATTGTCACGTTTTCTGAAACTATAAACAGCTTTATTCATTTCTGTATAATTTATGATGCAGTTACCAGTGAAATATTCAACATATTAGTCATTTAATTTGTTAATTAATGTTTACATTTTTGGTCTAAGCGTTATATAAAATCAGTTATCCTTAAATGTCTGTCGTCACAGGTCAGTTTTATACAAACTCAAGGACACGATCTTTGATGTCACAGAGGGCGTTTATCCTCTTTATTCACCTTTATGTTCTCATCTTTGTATGCAGCACAAATGTTTGCCTTTTATGACTTATTTTATCGTAAAGTGCTGGACTTACTGCACAAACACATTTGTGCGTAATGTATGTGAGCCCATAAGCTGTTGTGATTATTTTCTCTGCACACGGTAACAAAAAGCAGGGGTGTGATGTGAGCGTCCATCACGTGGTTTCATTCAGGTCAGTTTTAAAATCTTTACGGCGACGTTGCTGAAACTGATCAGAAATCTGTCGTTTGAGTAGTTTTTATTTGTGGTGTGTGCTTCTGCGTTGTTACGTATTGATCAGTTTGCAGTCATTTCATACCAGTGGCGCAGAAACATAACTCGGACTTTTGTGAGGTCACTCGGGAGTTTCCAGGGTTATAAAGAAGGTTTGCTGTTTGTGGTAACTTGTGCTGCTGACCTCACCTGCTTCACAGCAGATTATTGCTGAGATAAGAGATCAGCTAGTATGAAATCACCACCTCTCACCAAAGTCCTGCCACGACCCCTCAGAACTCAGAGCGTGGATCGTAAGAGGACCAAAGATTGTTAGGTGTAAAAACATGGTCACTGTTCTATAAGCTCAGCATGAAATCCTAAAATAGAGCACTTACCGCTCACATGTGTTGACTTCTCTCTTTACTTGTTCCCCATTTATCATCAGCACGATTGCAGCTTTCTAAACTCTGCACAGGTTTAACCCTTTAGAGCCGGTCGGAGCGGGCACGCTCTGTTTTGCGTAACTATTTTTAAATCCCGGTAGCTCTGCAACCGCGTAAGCTAGCACAATAATTTGTTTTGCATATGAAACCGGAGGAGTTGTACTTACATCTGATGCCATCAGCTCGTCCTCGGTCACGGTTTCCTTCCACATAAAGCTTTGCAAAAACTGCATAAAAAGCACTTGCAGCAACAAAAACATAATATTCCAGAAACACGCTTTGCCGATCCGATCAGCTGTTCGTAACACTTCCTACGTTGGAATAGACGTCAGAGCGAACTATCGCATGTCCGCCATGACCTGCCCGAAACCAGAAGTGACGTCATTTTCGCTGAAATGTAGTTTTTTACCATCAGGGCCTCATGAGCCTATACTGGTGTTTTTAAAAGTTATGTTTGACTTTATGACTTTCTGTGTCGTTTCTGGGATGCTGAGGACTCATATTGCACTGCTGGAAATAGTTTATTTTGATGCTGTTTTCTTTGTAAATTTGCATTATAATATTTATTTTCGTTTTTCCTGCAGTGTATAGAAATTGGTGTATTTCAAAAATAAAACTATGAAGACACTCAAAATAAATTTCCTGTGGTGAGAAACTAGTTTGTGCAACTTTTTTGTATTTACAGTTTTGAGGGATAAGCCTCTTAAATTTCTCTAACTAGAAATATATGTTAAAAAAACAAAAACGATTT